TTTTTTTTTATAAACCGTGGGAGTTCCGAACCTTTGGCTCATAATCTCCTCGGTACTGGAAGGCAGTCTTGGATATTTCGAACCAACTTTCTTGTGTTACCAAATTTATAATTTTGAATGTGAGTATTTGAATCCTTTTACAGCTAAGTGGTAATGTCAAACATTATTTCCATAACTAAAATGTACTTAAAGTTAAAAACACTATATTGGTTATCAAAATTATAAAAACACGCATAAAGTTTTCAGTTTCATTTTTAACGATTTTTGTACTGTTTATTTTAAAGTTTTTATTTTGTAATGTTATTAATATGAACTTACAAATGATGGCGATCTTGATACTCTTATCCAGGACATGCAATGCATGGAAAGCGCCATGGTCGGCGCTTTTATATATCATAAAAAATGGGTCCTAAATATTTTTAGTCTAGTGGCTTAAACCCAATATTTCTCTTAGAACAGGTCGTGATTTCAAAGATCAGTTTTGTTCTTATTTTTATTTTGTTTTAAAATATTTTTTAAAAAGTAAAACGGCCAATATTTTTGTTTTTACCTTGCGGTCCATTAGAACTTAGGGCCGGCTCTAGAGCGCGCAACTCGTATTGGTCACATCCAAGAAGAATGCCGACCAGTATAATTTTCAGCAAAGTGACTTCTAACAAAAAAGCGTACAAAAACACATTTTAACTCCACACAATACTCAAAACAATGATCGAAATAAACAATGAAAACCGATTAATAAAAAGGCAACCCGTCTATTTGCAAAACGTATTCTTGAAACTTATTAAATTTACTAATCCAGCTTCCATTAGCCTGATTATATATATGCAAAAACTCAGTTTGGAGCAACTTAGACTGGTAAGACTTAATATCATCTCCAACAAGACACGAAAAATAGTTTTTCAAAGATCAATTACGTTTGATTGTACATCGGATGGTGGATAATATGTGGTCTCATCATATCTAGACATATGTCAAGAATCATATACAGATACAAACGCTAGTAAAACAGAAAATGCATATTCAATAAGAAACGTCCACGCATATCCACAG